GAGCCCATTTCTCTCCAAAACGGTGCCAGTTTTAGCGTTTTGCAATAAAGAAATAAGAATAACTAAACTTGATAATTTATGTTACAATTTTAACATAAATGCACATTGTTCTAGAAGGATGGCATCATGCCATACCTTTTACACATTTACAAATTGTTATGCTGATATTAAAATTTGTAAGGAAAAATGCATTAAATAGCGAAGTATTTCTGGGGAAACTTTTTCAAAGGAAAACACACACACACACACGTCTCTTTGCTGAGCCGCGGCGGTCTCTGTGAATCAGCAGAATCCACAACTGAATGGAACAAAAAGTGTTGAACTTGAAAATTGTTTATGCGCAAGTGCACTTGCTAATTGAAGGCGGATTGTATAAAATGGATTAAAAAAAAACGTTTATTAACGAGCTGCAGTTTTATTACATCATGCGCTGGCACAGATGCAGTATATTAACACCACGGGACATCAATAAGGTGCAGATTGGTCCTCAATTGTGTTTCCAACACACTTTTTCACAGCGCGCATCACGCGCTCAAACTTGCGTGAGTTAACACTTAACACTGTACACTATACCCGCAACCTCACACCAAATTTCAGGCCGTGTAGATAGGCAAGCATAGCCTATATACAAATCATTTAGTAAGCAGAAATCGGAAATTTACCTTAACATATTAAGTTAGAGGAAGATGCGACTGAATTGATGCTTGAAGAATGCGCTTCCAGCAGCCATGATAAACAGTTGGCGGTTAAAGTTTTCTATGCACAATTTGATTTGATGAAAGTCACCAGGCCTATTACTATCTATCCAATCACATTGATGGATAAAAATTAAATTAAAATAAGCATGTAACGACCACAAACGGAGGAAAATAGCAGAGTAAAAGTACCGATACATCACTTAAAATGTACTCCAGTAAAAGTAAAAGTACACAATTTTTAAACTACTCAAAAAAGTACAATTACTGATAAAAACTACTTAATTACTGTAACGTGAGTATTTGTAATTCGTTACTTCACACCCCTGCATTACACACAGTGCGTGTCTAATTAGAGTTAAGCCAGTCGGCGTGGTAGCCCAGGCACACATAGTCATAGGCCATTACTGTTAAGCTGGTTGGCGTGGTAGCCAAGGCTCACATAGTCGTAGGCCACTATTGTTAAGCCAGTCGGCGTGGTAGCCCAGGCACACAAAGATAATAATACATGCGGTTTACATGGCTCTTCGGAGCAGCAGCAGTACAAATGTCTTGGCGATAGATCTGCTTTGTGGGGGATGTCTTGTCTTTCCTTGTCTGTTCATCTTCATGTGTGTGGATACATGGATGTCCACTGATGCAGCAGTTTATCCTTATATTCAGCGCCATGCATATATTGGTTTGTATTGTTTTGTGTAACGTGTCTCCTGCTTTGTAGGGGTTATTCATATGTGTTATATGTGCAGCAGTAGTATTTCTTACATGCTTACAGCAGCATGTTGTGGATGTATTGGCAGTAACAAGTCTCGTTACTTGCTCTGCTGCAGCAGCATAGCAGATCTATTCCACCAAAACCAAATACATTAACATTGTCATGTACATTACCATGCCAATCCCTCCGAGAGTTATCATGACAGAAATACAGAGTTCTGGCATAAAACTCTAGATGGCGCAGTCCGATAGGTTTAGCTTAATCTGACCTGGTGACATCATTGTCACATGGCAGCTGATTGGTTCTCTCCTGTATCGGTAGCAAATGAGCTCGCTGCTCAATATTCAAATACCTGGCTTTTGTTTGTTGTAGTAGTTGGCAGCGCACTTCAGAAACCCTCCACCTTCCCCAGCTCCACCTGTATAGATCTGCTAGAAGACTGCTCAAACCCTGAGCATGCATGCACAGCAACCGTTAGGCTTTGACAAGGATTGGTCAGTTTTGAACGGCATTGTGTCTGGCCATCTGTGGTTCTTGATTATGCTATGTGGATTTATTTTGTTTCCTGAGTATACCAGACAAGTAATTAAATTAAGTAATCAATTTACTTCTTGTCTGAAACCCTGACTCCCAAAAGAGTACTCTGGGTAAGAGGTCATGACACAAGTCAGACCTCTTCCATGTGGACATTGATCACAAGCTAACGATTCTTTGTAATCAATATCACAGTCGGATTATGTGATTCAACCCATTCAGAAAGCTCCTATTTATGGAATCAGTCAATATAATGCCCCATGAGTACAAAGATAAAAATGGAAGTTTTAATTTCTCACACAATAGAGAATTCTGTGTTAGGGTAAAAAAAAATCACTGACAGTTTCAGGTCAGTCTGGTCGAAGAGAGCCTTCCTCTCTGTTTTTGATCAAAAGGTCAACACAGCAGGGTCTGTTAACAGCCTTATAAGCAAGCTGTGAGGAATGGGATGGCCTGGGTTCCTTTATGGTTTTTAAGCAATAAAGGTTCCTCGTATGCTGGCTGCATGTCTGCCAGTATGAGATTATTGCCAAGTTTCTCCCACATGGCTTCTCTCTCTGTACAGATTTCCACAGTTTAGCAAAGCCAGCTACTGATAACAGATTTCATCAACCTTCAGCTTTTACTCTCTCACACACACACTGTATTTGCATCACTGCTTGTGTTAAAACAAAATCAGAGGGCTCACACTCACACATTGAATGCCTCTTTGTTACTAGTTTTGTTGCTTATGTAGTTCTTTCATTAATTAGCTATCAATTCGTAGATCCCACCAAACGGGGTCAAGGCATGGTCTTGTTCACCCATGCTGGTCTGTGCCATAATTACACAATCAGTGGGGAAAAGCATAATTCTCCATTAAAGGAATAGTTCACCCAAAAATGAAAATTTGCTGAAAATATATTCACCCTCAGATGTACAAGATGTATACGTTTCTTCTGTATCTTCACTGGAACAGATTTAGATACATTTTGTATTACATCGCTTATTCACCAATGGACCCTCTGCAGTGAATTGGTGCCATCAGAATAAGAGTTCAAATAGCTGATAAAAAATAGCTCAATAATCCACAAGTACTCAATTCTGGTCCATCATTTAATGTCTTGTGAAGTGAAAGCTGCATGTCTGTAACAAACAAATTAATCAAGATGTTTTAACTTCAAATAATTGCTTCCAGTTAAAATAGTCCTCTATCTATAATATTGCTTTCTTCAGTGAACAAGCCAAAAAAAGTCTAAAACAGTTCTAAATAAATATGTCTGTGGATTTTGATGTGAGAGGACAAAAGGGATGGACTTTTTCAAAGGATAAAGCATTATTAAGATTACAGACTGGATTTTGGGCAGACGCGATGGTTTAAAGTTAAGACATATCTATGTTTTTTGGAAACATGCAGCTTTCACTTTACAAGATGTTAATTGATGGACTGGAGTCATGTGGATTACTTGTGGACTATTGTGATATTTTTATCAGCTGTTTGAACTCTCATTCAGCAAGTGATGCAAGGTTCAATTTCTCGGTAACACTTTATATTAAGGTTCCCTTTATAAAGGGTTTATAAGTGAAAGTGACATGACATGTGGCCAAGTCTGGTGACCCATACTCGGAATTAGTGCTCTGCATTTATCCCATCCAAAGTGCACACACACACCGTGAACACACACACACCGTGAACACACACCCGGAGCAGTGGGCAGCCATTTTTGCTGTGGCGCCCGGGGAGCAGTTGGGGGTTCGGTGCCTTGCTCAAGGGCACCTCAGTCGTGGTATTGAAGGTGGGCGAGAGCTGCCGGTACGAGTCCGATTCTCTAACCATTAGGCCACGACTTCCCACAAAGGTGTTAATAAATGACTAATAACTCACTTACAAATGCATTGTAAATCATTGATAAGCAGTTATAAATGCATGAGTAAAAGGGTGATTTTAATGCAATACCTGCCAAATAGTGAGCCATGTTATAAATGCTTAACAAATATATGTATTAATACTTATTTCACTCAAAATCAGATTCCTGATTTATTTCATGATGCAGCAAAAATGTATTATTATAGCAAGACTAGGGATGTAACGATTCACTCAACTCATGATTCGATTCGATTCACAATTTTGATTTCACGATTCGATTCGAGTCACGATTATTATTATTATTTTTTTATAAAATGAGATTTAAGACAAATTATAAATGTGTCCTTTTATTATTGCTTGGACAAAATGCTGCACATTTCTTTGTGAAATTGAAATATAACAGTATAATAATATACTAATAAAGCACTTGCATATTACTGCTCTTTTGTTGGTTTTGATTGCTTCTGTTGTCCTCATTTGTAAATCGCTTTGGACAAAAGCGTCTGCTAAATGACAAAATGTAAATATAATGTAAATGTAAATAACAACATTGAAATTTTAAAACAAGCCCCAAATCAAATAAATAACACAAATAAAATATCTTCATAAAAACAAAATAAGGCTTTGTCTGTGCTCTTTCCTTTTAAAATTAGAGGCAACCACTGCATTTTAATCTTGATCCAAACAAAAATGCTGCATACATGCAACATGAGCAGTTTTTAAACCAAATTAGATTGTATAATTTCGAAATTTGAAGCAAAAACAGAATGGTTTGACTTCAGTTTTGTGAAACTATAAATAAAAATATCTGCATGAAACAGCGGATGAGCTGAATGAGACGCAGATTCACTCTCTGCCAGCAGGTGGCGCTTAAAGCATTTCCTTGGTTTGCGCTGTAAACAAAATACCATCTAAACTTTTCTAAAGACTGTAAGTTCCCCTCAGACATGCATTCATATAAACTCCTACACATAAATGAATTGCGATTTGTTTAGCATCTCAACCGATTTGAATCGTCACATATTTGAATCGATTTTCAACCGGCTCGTGGTTAATCGTTACGTCCCTAAGCAAGACTGATGGGTGTTGTATTTATGGTTTTCTCATTTATATCTCATGACTCATGTCACTTTTCTTACAATGTTTCTTATCAGAATCTACTCTGTTTCTCCACAAACGTTCATGATGCCTATCCAAAGCAATAATTAGAAACCAATATATTTTGCTTATCAAGATGAAATTATCATCTTGATTTTTATTTTGGGAAAATTTTTTATAAAAGCACACCCATGACATGATGAGATATTGATATTTAAAATGTTAATTCCAATATTACATGTGAACCGTAATGTAATGAGCCATTTATTAATGATTTATAAACATTAATAACCTGTAAAAGTGCACCTTAATGTAACGTGAGCATCTGTGAACCAGTTATTAATGAGTTATAAACGTTAATGATGTCTAAAAATGAACCTTAATGTAAAGTGATCACCTGTGAACCATTTATTAATGAGCTATAAATGTTAGTAACCTGTGAAAGTAAACCTTAATGTAAAGTGAACACCTGTGAACCATTTATTAATGATCTATAAACGTTAATAACCTGTCAAAATGAACCTTAGTATAAAGTGAACACCTGTGAACCATTTATTAATGATCTATAAATTATTCTCATGTTCCTGTCTCCCTGTCAGTTCTCTGTTTCCAGTTCTCGCTCAGTCAGGGTACGGATCTTCCGCCTTCTCCTTGGTTTGGTCAACGCAGTGGTTGAGGGGATTTCTCAGTGGAGCTCTGATTCTGACCAGGACCCGAGGATTATCACCTTGTGTCTCCGTTATTGTGATTACTAAATAAACCTTACCTTTGCACTCGCACTTGGATCCTGACTCTTCTCTGCCGTGACAAAAATATACATATTTATATTTTATCTAATTTAACAGTTTTGAGTAAATAATTAATTCAGTGACTGAAAGCACAGTTAAAGAACATTATCATAATAAGCAAACAGCAATTACTTTTTGATATCATGATAAAGCCCACTGTAACTTCAGTATTTGTTCATCCACACTGGCAGTAACGTTACCTGCGTGCGAGCGAACCGTCCGTGGGAGCGCCGGAGCGGTTATTTATTTGTATGGTAACTAATTAATTCAACTAGCAAAGAGATTACACATTTAAACACTTGAACAATATACTCTGAAGTGTCACCTCACAGTTATCTGACCCGTAATATGAATAAACACTATGTAAGATTATAATTTCGCTTCAGAGCACGTTGGAACAATCCTAACAGCGTGACTTCTTTGAAAACGTGACTTTGCATCGGATGCTTGCTAGTGCCATTTACAGGCTTTGGTGACACACGGGCAACTACAGACACACAGGCTTTGGTGATGTGATCCTTTTTTATTTCCAAAATGTAACAGTGCATAACATAAAAAAATTATATAATGTCACATTTAGTTTTGTGTTTGTTTGCTTAGTGATTCTTTTTTTTATATTATTGCATACTGTTGTATTTTGTTCCTTTCTCCTTTGGTCTATTATGGTCCTACAGTATAGAGTAGTAGAGTTTTAGTATTTTGTTGTCTGAATTCGTTTTTATGTGAATGGTTTGTTGTCCTACATTTCCCTGAGTTCAGTAATCTTCTTAATAAAAATAGTAGGTACTGCTGTATCTGAATCCTGCTTCCTCACTGCCCTTCAATACAATCTGTGACAAATATGTTTTTAGTTGTTTTTTAGTAGCTACTACTACTAATAAAAATAATTGTCATTGCATATAATGCATTTTTATTGTATTCTTTCAGGATCACATCACCAAAGCCTGTGTGTCTGTAAAGCAAAGCCTGTAAATGGCACTAGTGAGCATCTGATGTAAAGTCACGTTTTCAAAGAAGAAGAAGTCACGCTGTAAGGATTGTTCCAACATGCTCTGAAGCTTGTTCTCACATTGTGTTGATTAATTTTACTGCTCAGCTAACTGTGAGGTGACACTGCAGAGTAATGATGTCAATTTTCTATCATTTCCATGATCAATCGTTGTTTAAATTAACGATCAATTAATCGATTAATCGTTAACTTTAATGCAGCAAAATGTGTCTAATGCAGCAGCACTCAGCATGACAGGATGCTCAAAAGCCACTCAAAAAGAAAAACAGCTTTCTCACCCGAATTAAAGGAGTTTTAGTCTGAATAAAATGCTAGTAGCAGGATTGTAAATTGAATAGATGTGATTATGATCATTTGATAAAATGAAGAGTGCGCCGTACGTTTGAGATCATTTTACTTTGTTGACTGTTTTCTATCCCGACATGGAGACTGCTGAACGCGCCTCTTTAAATGGTTTCGTGGTGCTCGTTATTGTATTTTAAAACACCATTGCAGTGTTTTCAACTGACATTATGGCATTTAAAATAAAATGATCCCAAACGTAACTGTGGCGCGTGTGGCTGTGCTGCGCCGTCAGTGAACCGCTTCCATCGGCGCTGCTGCAGCAAAACACACTGTTGCTCACATGAAACATTTTTATGTGAGTATTATGACCAGTACTTAATTTGATCCCGCTGGATCCTGTTCCGGAAAATGTCCGATTTTACATTTTTGCATTGCGGTAGGCCTATTTGTTTTTTTTTTTAAATCCGGCATTTACAGTGCATTAGATCGTGACAGTGCATGCTTGCGTGCATACCAGACGGAGCGAGCGCGGGTTTGGCTAGATGTATTTGGAGGTTATTACTCACGTCTCATTCAGCACAAATCCAAATGTTTCCATATTCGCGCAATGTATTTGAATTTTAAACTATTATTTATAATGTAAACTAGGCTTGTACTTTACACGCATTCGCATATAGACGGAAAAGATCATCCTCTTCACATGAGCAAAAAGTCCTTGGCATAACAGCAGAGTGGACCGGTATACTACGGTCTATTTAAACTGACCAGTGTAAGCTTTTATATGTTTGGTTGACTATTTTATTTTGATAATGAACAGACTGCGATGTAAGTTTGAATTGCTAGAATATGTGGGGTGTGTATGCGCGAGGCGCCGGTGCGATCGAACAGCTGTACAAAACTAAATTTTTGGAGTAAGATATAATCCGCAAAAGTGTTTACTTATATTTTTGCTCACTCACAATAAAAACAAGATTCGTGCTTTTGCAAAATAAAGCAAACAAACAGAATGCGCGTTGTCATCCTTTCCTTTCCGTGAACTTGTTTATGGAGCGCCGCACCACACTTATGTTTTAAATCTGTTAGCTTAATTATTTAAGTCAGATATGTTTCGCTTTTTTTAATGAAAACAAATTGTAATTGTTTTATTTTAGGCCTATTACTTACATAGGCTATACATTTTCCTTAAAGCATCCCATTTTGTCCCAGGGCTTGAAAACCTGTGCCCTAGGCTAGTTAGGTCCTACAGAAACTTGTGAACGATGCTCTTGTTGTGGCCTCACCATTTAGTGACATCATTGAATGCTCCTGGAAAACGTATTGTCAAGTGTCGGTCACAGCCCTGTTGGAAAAACCAGCATATGCTGGTTAGGTATGTTTTGACGCTGGGATGCTGGTTTAAGCTGGTCCTTTGCTGGTTTGTGCTGGTCCTTTGC